GGTAAACAGAAGCAAAGGTGCCCTAGAGTCCAAGTAGGCAGGTGGGCTTTGGCTTGGTTCAGTTTGCTTGTTTTGGCTTTAATTGGTTAGTTTATTGGAATTTTGCTTCATTTATTGCAAGAGTGTGGATTGTACTCAGGGCCTTCATCTTCTAGTCAAGTGTTCAACCTTTGAACACTACTTACAGTCTTGTTTTATTTTTATTTTTGAGACAGAGCCTCCCTACATTGCTCAGCCTTTAATTATTCATATGCATGACACCCTTCTAGATGGTGGAGTTTTGAAGATGTAAACTATGTCCACATGTTTATGTACACAAGTTATAGGCTATAATATCAAAATCAAAAGGACGAGGAGAAGCCTAGATATTTATAAAGTGATGAGTGGATAATGAAAATATAGTACAAATACAAAATGAGATTCTATTTAGCTGTAAAAAAATGAAATCATGGAATGTGCGGGCAAATTAATATAACTGGAAAATATTATACTAAGTGAATTAACCCAAACCCAGAAAAAACAAATACTGCATGATCTCTCTTATTTGTGGGTCCTAGATCCAAATCTTTAGGTTTGAATGTATAATCTGGAACAACCATAGAAGCCAGGAAAGTAGAAAGGGGCCGTCGAAGGAGGTGAGAGGAAGGAGTTCTGGAAAGGAATATAACAATATTATGAAGGGGGGAGAAGAAAAATGGAGAGACTCAAATGGAGAAGGGAGAGAAAGGATAATACAGAGAGTGAGAAAGGAGTAAATAACCTCCATGCTTGGACTTTGTCTGGCTTGTAGGCCTTGCGTCTGCTGTCACAATCACTGTGAGTTCATATGTGCATCTGCCTTATTATGTCTGGAAAACACTATCCTCCTGGAAGTCATCTACCACCTCTGGCTCCTACAATCTTCTTATCCTTTTAGGGCTAAGCATGGACTTCTCTTTTAGGGCTAAATGTTCTAATATCTCGTATTCTCTGCACACAAACCAGTTGTAGACCACTATGTTAGTTACCACATACTTCATATAGAAGCTCCTCTGAGGAAAGTTGAGTGATGCACTGATTTACAGGCATAACAAAAAGATGTCAGGATTGTTTTATTGTCATGTCCATGTTGATAATAGTAATAGGATTTTCCCTAGGGCCCATCACCTATCTAGCCACAAGTTCTTGACCGCATCAACAGTGTCAGGTATGAGTTCCATCTCATGGAACAATACTTAAATCCAGTTTTAAAAGTTGTTTTGTTACTCGAAAAACATTTGTGCCACTATTGCACCTGTGGACATACCTTGTCAGGCATGTCATTATTGTAGCTCACAGGGTTCAGAACTGAGTGAGACTGATGTTTACTTTTCTCTTGTGATAGCATATATAGCACCCTCTATCAGTATGAATGCTAGCCAATGGGTTTGAAGCTTCCAGTTGGGTACCAGATAGATTTTTCTCCAGCTAGGGTTCTTTGACTCAAATATGTAATGTCTTCTGCTATAGGATCTTAAAGTTGTATTGGGTAAACAATAGAATTGGCAATATCCTGTCATGTTATGGGGGATCTATACAACTCCACAGAACTAACAACTCAAATAGAGGTAAGCCACATGGGTTTTATTTGGTAACACATGTTGTGTACTTTGGGGTATTGTCCTCCTTTAGAAGGTATCTCTAAACATTCTCATTCTCTCTCTCTCTCTCTCTCTCTCTCTCTGTGTGTGTGTGTGTGTGTGTGTGTGTGTGTGTGTGTGTGTAAGGAAACTTCTACAGTATTACATATAGCTTTTTCGAAAAGACCTTTAGTGTTAGATATTCCTCCAAGTATTCATTCCTCTACCCCACCATCCCATCTCACAATCAAATTAGCACTTCCTGTTCTACTCCCTGCCTTTCCAATTATAAACTTATATTCTATACCCCCTCCTTGAAACATACCTTCTTCCCCAGTGGTCCCTTACTAGTTACTTAACCTCTATGTGTATTCTAAATGAAACACACATATGTGAAGCTTAAAAGCTAACACCCACATACCAGAAAAAAATCATATAGTGTTTGTCTTTCTGAGTATAGGTTCCATAAGTCTGGATGGTTATTTTTAGTTCTAGCCATTTACCTGTAAATTTCATAACTTCCTATTTCTTAACAGAAACAGTAAAAAATCAATCTATAGTTTCTACTTCTATTTAACTTTCTGAGTTTTACAAACTGCCAGCAAACTGAGTATGGTGTCACATCCCTAAATCTTACTATGCAGAAAGCTAAAGTAAGAAGATCAGAAGTTCACAAGGAGGTGGTTGTGTATGCCATTAATCTCAGCACTCAGGAGGCAGAGGCAGGCAGATCTCTGTGAGTTCAAGTCAGCCTAGTCTACAGAGCAAGTGCCAGGGGCTACACGAGGAGGAGGAGGAGGAGGAGGAGGAGATTCAAAATTCAAGGCCTAACTCAACTACATAGCAAGACCCTGTCTCAAAAACACATAAAAATAAAAGTTAGCAGTCAAAGAATTAAGAAGAGGAGTACACCAATGGATAATTGATATGAGAAGTTAAGACTTGTTTATAAAACACATATAATGAGGGATCACCGTTTCTCCAAAGTATATATTCTATGTATTCAAGGTCTACGATTATCTAAATGGAGTTCAACAACTGAATAAAAGCTGAGAACCTTAACAACCTCCTAAATCTATCAGGTTCTTTATTATAGACACTGGGCTAAAAACTCAGACAATAAGAAGCTAATTAGAAGCAAAACTGTAATTACCATAGGAGACTAAATTATAATTACCTTGGAATTTACTCATGAAAATACTTCTCAAGTCCATTCAAAAACTGTGAACAGACAAAAATCTTGAAGCATATCTGGACCCTTCTAGCTATATTAGTTTCATTAAAGTTAAATTTTCATTTAATGTTTAATCATAGTGCTGAAGCAGTTCTCTAAATAAAGGAAGCAGATTAATGCTATGTTCCTGAGGAAAGACTGGAGTAGATCTCATTTCTTACAATCAACTGTGACCAAATAAGCCCTCTATTCATTTAATATGGCTGAGATGACTCAACCACAAAGTACAAATCTATCCTTGAAGAAAATCACATGCCGAGAGAGAGAGAGAGAGAGAGAGAGAGAGAGAGAGAGAGAGAGAGAGAGAGAGAGAGAGAGAGAGACAGAGACAGAGACAGAGACAGAGACAGAGACAGAGACAGAGAGAAACCTAAATCTTTTATACATGTAACCTTCTAAAATACAGGGCAAAGATTCTGAATCCCTTCACCTCTCATGGTAAAATAGTTAAGAGCTTATTCAGGATGCCGGAATTCTAGGCATGGGTGCCCAGGAGAGATAGCATTGAAAGTGAATATTCTATTTTTACCAAAAAGAAAACAAAAAAGAAACTTTTATATTTTGTAATGTAACTTAGAATTATTCTACAAAGCTTTCCATCTCAGAAATGCTGCTTTCTCCATATACATCAAATGCAGAAGCTTGAATTTCCATTATTTGAGATGAATTCATATAAATTCTAACACTGTACTGTGCTTTTAAAAAGTTGAGAAGTTTCATCATCAATCATAATAATGAATCACTTATCAATAACCCTGATCTAGTGGCAAACTGGATGAGAAGAAATAGTGAAAAGAGTTGAAGGGGCCTGGAACTACAGCACACTCGTTTCATTGGTAGAATAACTGAAAATGTCTAAACGAAGTTCCAAGAGGCCACTGTTGGAAGTTCTACATTCAATCTAGGTGTGAGATTTTTTTTTTAATCAGGAAAATAAGAAAGTCAACCTGATTATTTCTACCTAGTTCAAAAATACTACTTTTATGACTCAAGGTAGGAAGGTCTAGCTAGATGTCTAGAGCCACCCACAAGAAAATCTTACTGATGCAAATGTCCCTAAAGTGATCAAGAATCCACTAGTGGAAAAAACAAACAAACAATGAGGCACTGAAGAAATCCTCCAAACTCCCAGAAGGTAACTCAACAACTCAACGTGAGAAAAGCAACTGTACCAGGAAATCTTAGCAAAGTATCAGGTATACAGTGGCCATAAACAGAACAAGAGAGGGCAGCATGCTGGGCTCAAGTTGGATTATGCATTCCTTGGGTTTGGATTTAAAATAAATCCTGCCCAAGGAAATAATCCCTTAACACTGAAAGGATGACTGGAAGTGCTGATGCATTTCCTAGCAAACAAAAAATTCTGAGTTTTCTGTTTCCTGTCAAGAATACACATGTTGAAATAGCTAGAGCAAAATCCATTCCTTTATTCAGCAGAAACTTCCAGGGTACACTGCCTATAGTTCTACTGAATATGAGAGAAGAAATGAGAAAGACCCCACTACTCTTAAACTCATGATGTAAGATGGAAAGTTGACAAATAAAAGGAAATGCAAACAAAAATGCAACTAAGCTAGGCTAATGCAAATGGCTTGGAAGACTTAGTAAAGTTTTTGCTATTTTTGAAGGATCACAGTTTCTTCACATATTCATTTGTACTAGCCAAAGTCCAGAATTTCTGAGGTTAAGTTTAGACATTTATTAAAGAACAGCAGCTCAAACCATCTGTTTTTCTCCAAGGATGAAGATCCATCACACACAAATTTTCACTTCACTCTAACCCTCTGAGAATATTATCATCAGATGGAGAAGGTAACATTTGTTTTATAGATAGCATGATAACACACCATGCTTTATAAAGTAGCTAGAGTCAATGGCATAACAGAAGCTTTGGGGTGAAAGAAAAAAGAAAGAAATGAAGAAACCATCATATTATGAGCTCCAAAGTAATTCACTTTCTGTAAGTTCCTTTGATCCACTTAAGTGTTCTGCTACAAATCTTCTGGTGAATAAATATGAAAAAATCAAAAGAGAACAACAGAACCTTGCTATAATAAGACAGAGGCATGTTATAGAACAACCCTGGAGGGTTTGTAAAAAAAAAATAATAATTCCCAGAGTCATATTGTACAGATCTGCAGATGCTAGTAATGAAGGCTAAATTGTACCTGATAAGGAACAATGCTGCCATGAGCTGTGCCCCATCGTTTTGCTTCCTTTTGGCCAATAAGATAATTAGCAGCTACTTGAGTCAAACACGCCACCTGCCAGAATAAAAATAGGAAGAAAGGGAGTTAGTTTAGCTATAGTCATTGATAAATAAAGCCACTTCACTTCTTGTCATCATAGAGGGGAAAAGACCCAAATTCAGTGAGAATATACACATGTCTGTATTCTCTTCATACAAATAGAGAACATTATTACATGACTAAGCAATGATCGGTTTAGGAATATTAACACACAAAATTCCATGTCCTGAAAAGCCACATGAAGGCAGATGCCAGTCAAGCCAAGGGCACCTTGATCTAGCCATGGAGGGAAATAAAAGCCACAACAGATTCTGCCAGCAAGTGCTATATGAACTCCCTTCTCTGGCTATACCCTTATTCTTTTCGTCATGGTAACACCAAAAAATCCTGCACCATCACTAAAGCCAGTGAACCAAAGCAAGGATCTACAGTCTCCTGAGTTTTTGACATATAAAAAGAAAGAATGCCAAGCTTCTATTCATCCAGTTTAGTTGTTTTTCAAAAAAAAATAATATGCCCAAGAATTTTTTTGACATTGAAAAACAAGATTTTTTTAAATTCATTAATAAGCCTTCCTCCCACTCATCAATGCCTGAGACAGATGGGAGAGCTGGCCCTGAAGTCAGAAGAGCAGGCCTCTGCACCTCCCATACACAGCACAATAGATCCAACACCCACTGACACAGGTGTGTGAGAGCCAGCCCCAAAACTTCGAGCCTGGAAGAGTGGTCCCCACTTATTCACCTGTCACGTGGCATCATGGGCAGGAGAAAGATGCTCCCCCATCAAGGCCTGAGGCAGGTAGGAAAGCTGGCCCTGAGGTCATAAGACTGGGGGAGCTAGCCCTGCCCCTCATCTGCTGCAGCACTCAGGAGAGAGGGTCCTACACCATGCCTGAGCAACACAGTAGAACTGGTGTGGGAGATCTGATCCTGAAGAAATGAAAGCAGGAGAACTGGCCCCACCCCTTGCTCATCACAGGAAAGGATGAACTCACCAAGGTAATGCAATAGAGCTCATGCTAGTGGTGAGGACAAGGGAGAGATGGTGGGCTGACCAACCTTGCAACAACCCAGGCCCAGAACCAGGGTTATGGGTTGGCCAACCCCAATAGCCATCCAATCTGCTGGACCATATGAAGGGACAAGTCCTGCAGACCCAAAACTGCAGGATTTCCACTATACAAGGTAACAGCAGGACAACCGAGAGGAATTTCAGTGAGGGCTCAGCATTGATAGTGTAACAGATACCAGAGATCTCGAACCAGACCAATGACTCTCGGCAATGGACACTTGCAAGTAAAGATATATGCATAAAAGGGTTTACGGTGTGACTCACTATGTCACACTACAGCTTCCATGATGAGATCCTCCCTTCTTTTTCTTTTCTCTCTTAAATTTTATTGGTGGGGGGGAGTGGAAGGGCAGAGGTCAGATATGCATGGACAGGAAATGAATAAGATTGAGATGCATGATGTAAAAGACACAAAGAATAAATAAAAAGAAAGTTAAAATAAAAGTAAATAAGCCTTCCTCATTTAAGCAAAAGTTACTATATCTCTCTCAACTTGGTCTGATCCCCATACCTTCATTATTAGGCTCATTTTGTTCTCGAGCACCATAGATCTATTTAGGGGCATCTGAAACTTCAGCTACATTCTCTGAATCTTAGTGATCTGTGAACAGATCCTGAAAACCCTCTTATTTCTATTTTGATTGGTTTGTTGGTGGATTGAGACTTGAGACAAAACCTCAGTCTGTATTCCAGGCTGCCCAGGAACAAACTTCATAGGCCAAGCTAGCTTCAAACTCTTAGCAATTCTCCTGCCTTGTCCTGCTGTGTACTGGGAACATGGGCACATCCTGTAAACCTGTAAACTTTCAAGTTCACATAAGGAAACCATGAGGATAATGGCAGGACTTCTTTTTTTTTCGGGGGGGGGTTTGAGACAACATTTCTCTATGTCTTTGGAGGCTGTCCTGGAATTAGCTCTCGTAGACCAGGCTGGTCTCCAACTCACAGAGATCCGGCTGCCTCTTCCTCCTGAGTGCTGGGATTAAAGGCATGCACCACCACCGCCCAGCTTAAAGGCAGGATTTCTATAACCATCAATAGGGATCTTAGGATCCCTGGATACTTGGGCCTCCAGAGATAAGGACTATGAAAGGCTGATAAATAATATTTCATAATTTATAAGGAAAAAACCATCTGGCTTCATGACATAGCTTTGATATAGGTTTAATTTCCTTTTCCAGATCATCAATTGTGACTGGGAAGATTCCAAACCTATAATTGAAACACACCCCAAACTGATAGTTGCTTCTCCAACAACTCAGGTGTAGATTTTTCAGGGCAAGTTGCCTTAACCATTTCTTGCCCTGTGCCGGGCATAGTAACTGTACCTATCAGCCATTTTCCTTTATTATGGAAACTGACTCTCATTTTTGTGTTCATTTACTGCTCTGCTGAAATTGGAACTGCCTTGTGGCAGCTGGTTTGGCTGTACTACCCAGGTGGCAAAACTAATAAATTCTGAGTCATCCACTTCTGGACTTCCATCTGGTCTTGGACATTTGAACCATGAAACACTCCAGGGCTGCTTGGGCTGCCTAGTGCTAATGATCATTTCACAGACCACTTCTGTGTCTTTCAAAATGCAAAATCAAAAGAACATTTTGTAGTGAAAATGCCCTGGAAGGGAATTCCAGATTCATGGTTTCTAAGTTTTGCCAACTTCCAAGTAGGTTGGCATCAAATTTAACTTTGACCCCCAAATACTTTCTCTATAAAGTTATGATTGTTTTAGCTAAACTTACGGGTTTTAAAGTATTTCAAAATGAAATAAAATAAAAATATTTGAAATCTTAATGTATAGGCAGATAATATCTCACATGTTTGAAATGAAGCAATGTTGTAACTCAGACAGTATGAACATAATTTGTAAAATAGTAAATGATCCCAAAGTTTTCAATTAACATCTGTACTTCTATTTAAAGCTGAAAAAAAATGAGACAAAGGGGAGGGGATTTTAGCCATTTTCTCATAAAGCCTCTTCCTGAATTTTGGGGACATTTCTGAAGTCTGAATTCTATATGACAGATTCTTCTTCTTCTTCTTCTTCTTCTTCTTCTTCTTCTTCTTCTTCTTCTTCTTCTTCTTCTTCTTCTTCCTCTTTTTTTTTGGCTACATAGCAAGTTTAACCTTAATTTTTATGGTGATTTTTTATTTAAATTAGAAACAAGCTTGTTTTACATGTCAATCCCAGTTCCCTCTCCCTCCCCTCCTCCCCTACCCCCTACCAACCCCCTGTCCCATCCCCTTACTGCTCCCCAGGGAGGGTAAGGCCTTCCATGGAGGAATATTCAAAGTCTGTTATATCACTTGGAGCAGGTCCTAAGCCCTTCCCCATGTGTCTAGGCTGAAAGAGTATCCCTCTATGTGGAATGGGTTGAGTCAATTTCTTTCTTTTTTTTTTATTAGCCCAAATTAGGAACAAGCTTGCTTTACATGTCAAAGGGGGTCTGGATCAGTCCTATGCTGGTTTCCCAGTTATCAGTCTGAGGTCCTGGAGCTCCCCCTTGTTCAGGTCAACTGCTTCTATGGGTTTCTCTAGCCTGGTCTTGACCCCTTTGCTCATCACTCCTTCCTCTCTGCAACTGGATTCCAAGAGTTAAGCTCAGAGTTTAGCTGTGGGTGTCTAATTCTGCTTCCATTAGCTACTGGATGAAGGCTCTAGGATGGCATATAAGGTAGTCATTAATCTCATTATTGGGGAAGGGCATTTAAGGTAGCCTCTCCACTATTGCTTAGACTGTTAGTTGGGGTCATCCTTGTAGATCTCTGGATATTTTCCTAGTGCCAGATTTCTCTTTAAACCTATAATGGCTCCCTCTATTATGGTATCCCTTTTCTTGCTCTCTTCTATTCTTCCCCTGACTCAATCTTCCTGCTCCCTCATGTCCTCCTCTCCCCTCCTCTTCTCCCCTTCTCTTTCTCCTAGCTCCCTCTCCCTTCTCCCCATGCTCCCAATTGGCTGAGAAGATCTTGTCCCTTTCCCTTTCTCTGGGGGACCATGTATGTCTCTCTTAGGGTCCTCCTTGTTTCCTAGCTTCTCTGGCGTTGTGGATTGAAGGCTGGTAATCCTTTGCTCTATGTCTAAAATCCATATATGAGTGAGTACACACCATGTTTGTCTTTTTGTGACTGGGTTACCTCACTCAGGATGGTTTCTTCTAGTTCCATTCATTTGCCTGCAAACTTCAAGATTCCATTGCTTTTTTTCTGCTGAGCAGTACTCCATTGTGTAAATCTCTTTTGAGATCCTATGCATTTTTTTCTTTCAAAGAAATTCCAGTGAAAGTCACTCTCTAAAACACTGATGATATTACAGGACAAGAATTCAAATTCATAAACTAAATACTGCAAGAAATTAACCACTATAGTTTTATTACATCTATTTTTACTTCAAAGCCAAGAGATGCTTGCTACAACATCATCAGCAAAGATGCATGAAGCAGTAGATTTTGAGATGAGATGATCACAAACAAAACTGAAAACCTTAAAGTGAGATAGTTAAGAGCTAGACTCAAGGCTGAATATCAAACCTGGCTACCTCACTTACATATCTTATTTTTCTCTTTCATTTGTGTGTGTGTTTGTGTTTGCCTGTGTGTGTTGTGAGATAGGGTCTCTCTACATAGCTCTGAATGTCTTGGAGCTCAGTATGAAGACCAGGTGATCCTGGAAGTCAAAGAAATTGACCTGCCCTTCCCTCTCAATTTTTGACTTCTGTTTCCCTGGCCCTGCCTCATATAGAGTTTGAATTCAAGGTCAGAACTTATCTCTCAAACTGCTTCTAAATGGAAGATAATATCCATTTCCTCTATACATCAGTAATTAATCCCCAAAGAATTTCAGAATTAGCAGGTTCTCAATGGGTAAAAAGTTAAATAAGATTTTAAAACAGTTGTCATTAAAACCATGATTTGTTGGTAGCTTCTCAAAGACAAAGTTGA